GGGGGGGGCCGGGGGCCCCCCCCCGATCCGCTACCGCTGGTTCCGGGGCAGCCCGGGGGGGACAGCCCAGCCCCTGGGCAGCCAGGCTGAGCTGGCCTGGGCCCGCCTGCTGCCCTCGGACGCCGGCACCTACTTCTGCCAGGCAGAGAACAGGGTCGGGGCGGCACAGCACAGCGACACCGTCCAGCTGCTGGTCACAGGTGAGTTCCTAGAGCCTCCAGCTCCTCATCACCGCTGGATCAGGCTGATGGGGAAGTTTCCTCTTTCATAGCGGGATCAGCTGTATAACGCTGAATTTTAATTGTCTCTTGGCTGCTACCCAGAGAGGAAACTAAAGGGGCTGGTGTTCTCCCTGCAGCAGTGTGACTGGTCATGGCAGAGGGCAAGAAAATGTCCCCAAGTCTCTCTGGGACCAGGATGGCTCCTGCCCTTGCCGTGTCTTGCTCCTACCTTGCCCATACTGCAGACAGGGCATGGGGACACAGTCTGATGACCAGTCTTTTCCATAGAGTTCCCAGCCACACAGCAGGCCAGCCCTGGGGCCGGCTGGCACAGCAGACCCCCCCCCTTGCCCTCTGAGGCAAGGAGCCCCAGCGAGTGCCCACAGGTCAATGCTCTGGGCTGCAGGGGAAGGCCTGCTGGGACAAATCTACCTGACATTCCTTCCAGGCTGCAGGTCATCTTTGCAGATGGGATGGAGATGGGCCACCCTGTCCCCCTGTGTGGGCAGCTGGGTTGGAGCCTCCCTGGTACAGCAGCAGAGACTGAACTTGTGGGACCATGACCTGAGAAACCAGGGGCTGGCACAGCCTCCACAGGGGCTCACCTGAGGCAAGAAACCCAGCATGAGCTTAAGGTGCAGCTGCTGATGGCAAACCAGAACAGCCAGGGAGTCACCGTGGGAGAGATGAAGTGAGAAGGTCCTGTGGGAACCTGGATGAGCCCCAGTGAGACAAAGCCAAAGCATTCCCTGGCCATGCGGTACCCAGCCACAAGAGGGGGGGCCGAGTGCCATAGGCCGCCTGCAAGCCGTGCTGATGGAAAGCGGGCACGCAGCTCCATAGCAGGAGTGACGCCCAGCCCGGGGCGGGGAAGGGGATCGGTGCCGTCCCGCTGCAGCCCCTTCAGCCTCATCACCCTTCACCCCTCGGCTTGGCAGGTCTGCCCGCAGCGCCGACAGTCTCCGGGGGGGATGCCGCTCCGGAGGGGCCCCCCACTGCCGCAGGTGAGCCGGGAGTGCTGGGAAAAGCGAGACTGGCACTGGCAAGGGCATGAGCGCTGCCTGCAGCCTAAACACGGAATGTGGCTGCCGCAGGGGAAAAAAACCCCGGCGT